TCACCTTTGATCGACATATATCCTTGCTGAATAAAAGTGTTAATTTATTTCAAAAATGACCCCAACCCCATATATTTATAATACTATATATAGCATAATGTATTTGTGTGTGTGTCTGTAGTATTTTCTATATCAGTAAATAGTAATATTTTAATATTTGTATCGTAAATTTGTGTGGTAGGTAGTTTACCATGCAGTGGTCGAGTTGCATCAGACATATCCCACTGCATCTCCAGACAGGACTGGAAACATGTCTGGCTGCTCTGGACACATTCGGCTAAGATATCAGCTCATATAATCTCTTAAGTATCGACCTCTGCACCTGTCCGGCTACAACACTCGATACCACTCCGCTGTTTCCTTCCCAGTTGTCCTCTATGGTTCCACTTCTCTCAGCACCTCCATTAGATGCCCACATATACTGTATGCTGAGATTTAGTAAGGGCGGCAGGGCGAGGCATTCCTCCCCTCGTAAAGATCTGCTCTGGATGCAGCCAGTGCCTTTCACATCAGAGAGGCAGTGAATGGGATGGAGGGGGAGAAAAAGAGAGCGAAACAGCTGTTCCCAGCATGTCAATAGATTAAATAGCAGTTCCAGCCCTCCTGGGGTCCGTGGACTCTCCCACCATGATTTTACAGCTTCCACTCTATAGGGTTTTTGTGGTGGACACTCTGTGTGGGACGAAGTGCACAGACCTTCCAGTACACAAGCATCGGAAGGGACATCCTGCACACTTTTATAGGGTATTGCTGTAGTTATATCCATCTGCTTATAAGTACTGCATGTGTAAATTGTTTAATTTTCCTGTTTAAGTGCTTTTTTCGCTCTTTTATCAGGTCAGGCTTGACGAATGCATCATAAATGGAGTAATCCTCTTCTCAGGAAAAATACTGTTTTACTCCGAGTGTCATGGAGCGAGTTTCTCACAGTGCGTGCATTCATTATGAGCTGTGAACCCTGAGGAGGTGAGCACATTTCCCATGATGATCTCTGGCTCTCTGTGGTTTTTCTCATCCAGCTTGGATTCTCATTACAGTTTTAACAGCCTCCCAGTCCTTCATTTGTTACAACAGCAACAGGTGGATTTCTCCTCTCTTTTCATTTACAGGCAACAAAATGCTTTGAAATCTTACACTGAAATGCAGGATGATTTCAAGCAAATGCTTACTTGGTTTAGTTTATAAAGGAAACAGATTACAATTAAGAATAGATCTTTCTGAACTCTTTACACTGAGTGACAGCTATAAACAGTATTTTTCTAAAATGCTCTTTAACTGCCGTTTAAGCATGTTAGGCAGAATGACATACATTTTTTGGCAGATGTTGGGCAGCAGTGTATCAAGTATTCCTGGCACGAACTGTGCATGGAAAACAGCATAGTCAAAAGCTTGTGAAACTGATTTATACCTACTCGCCACTTGCTTGAAATGGGGTGGACGAATGTTTCTTGGGCAAAGTATTCCTTAAACTTCTTTAAACTCACACAGATATATTTGCCTTAAGTGAGTCACTAATTTTTGAACCCACACAGTGACATCAATCTCAGAAATGTGGTCTAGTTCATACGTTATAGTGGTGAAAGGTGACAGAAGAGTCTAAGGTCTAGAGTCAATAATGTGGGGTGGAATTCTGAACATCCTTCAGTATGTGTTGGAGGGAACTTAGGCATTTTGTGATTGTTTCATCTGATCTACATTTATACACATTTAGGCAGAAACGTTTATCCAAAATGGCTTGCAATACATTCAGGTTAGGTATTTTGTAGGTAGTTCTGCCCATGACCTTGGCAACATGCGCTACTGTTTAAGCTGCATGAATTTTTGGAGACATAAGATCAAACATAAAAACTAGAATTCTGTCTGTTTTTCCATTTCGTATTTTGTTGGCACTTACATTCGTGGTAAATCACTATTCAGAAAAGATCCAGATATTATTTATTTTTCTGACCCTCTTCTTTTCACTAAGTAGATATTGACAATTGTATGTTTTTTTCTTTTCTAATTCTAAATTAATTATTGTCCACGCAGGACCTACATCATTAATTAGACTTTGCTTGATTCAAAAAGATGTTTCAGACTCAAACCAATTTTTTTATATTGGCTCAAATTGCAGAAGTGTGTATTTGTTACACTTTTTAAAAACTTTAATGAACAATGCTAAAATTATTATACTATTTATAATGCTTAAAATATAATTACGCATTTGTGTTTTTTCCTCTCTCTCTCTCTATAGTTTGTCATGAAAGTGAAGTGTAAAGTGCAAGCTTCCCAAAGTCACAGCCTGTAAAATCTGAAAATATCTGGACATTTTTTAAACTGTAATGTCGGGGCACGAGGAAGTCTATAGTATTTTTATAGGCTAAATATAAATGTTTCTATCGATGTTCGAAATAATTAATCAGCTAGAAATGTTATACAATGTCTTTATCCAGTAATTATGAGCAACTGAGAAAAAGTAATGGACATTCATTGGTCAGAGGGTGTGTGACCGCGGAAAGTGCTGTGTTCTACACTCCTCTTCACTTTTTAGGCAGTGTAAATAATAAGCTGCATGTTTATAAACCTAGTTTATTACGAGCTGAAACGCCGCTTGTTATGTTATTCAAAACGACACAAAACCGGCCACAAATGCGTCGGCAGCGTGACTGCAAAATATATACTGCAGCGGATGTAAACTTTATTTTATTGAACCTCTTAAATTGATAAATATTTACAAAATAGAAAGACAATGTAAATACCTCATAGATTAGAGAAATAATATGATAATAAAGTAATTTTATAGTTTAATGAAGTTATATCCCGTTTATTCTATGTGATTTAAAATTATTTCATCACAAAAACGCGATGGATCGCGAGACTGAACAAGATTGAAAAACTATAGATTTTATATAGAGTTTTTTTTATTGAAAGCATTCTTTAGAATTTAGACATTTGGGAAAATATCGTGTCACCCCTTTTTTTTTTATTTGCGTTAGTTGACGTGTGTGTGCAGATGAAGATTTATCGTAACTAATACACTTCTGACGCAGATTAATGCGATTAAATAAATGCTAGCAGATTTTCTTATTGCATTACACTTATTACATTCTTTGGCTATTTCAGACTTCTGAATAGATAAATTAACGTATATATTTGAAAGTTAAAAAAAAACAAACCAAAACATGTTTTATCTACACTGCATATTTTACGTTTGCTGAAGATAGAAGAATAATTGCTTTTTTAAATTATTTAGTTTATTAAAATTTGAGTAAATAAGAAGTAAATGTAAGAAGTATAAATATATTTGTATGAAATATATATGCTAGATTTAATAAATAAACATACTAGGCTAATAGTTTGTATGAGAACTTTGCTGGACTTCCCAAATCCTGATTCCTTTCTAAACAGTTCAGTTGCGTACAATTTGTAACACTTTGGAAACTCCCAAAAACTGGAATAAAAGGATTCCGGTCTAACGTTTCTCTATCCAATAAGAGCGTTTAATCGGCTCTGCGACCAAGCGTCTTGTCTAAAATCCCCTCCTATATTGCGTTTTTAAACAACTCCGCCTTTATTCAACTGAGTGCTCAGCGGTAGGCTGGCCCTGCTGTCAATCAAACGCATCAGCGCTCTATAAGGTCTACTCTCTCGAAAGCGCTCGCTCAGACACTGGAGGATGCGGCCGGGAGCAGCTTCTGCGGCTGGGAATCAAGTGCACTGGTCGTTCTCATTAGTTTTCTCGCCTCCTCCCGCAGATATGACCGAGAACATCCCACTAAAATCGCATTCCTAGATGTCCCGTCCACGTTGGGTTAGTTTATTTCACGTCTGAGGATTATATTGTGGACTCCAATGGCTTTTAAAGACTTCTGAGGGGGGATTCCTAAAGCTCTTCCTGGACCTGGACAGAACTGTACCTACCTGTCAATATGTCCAGCTGGAGTGTGATGGTCTGCACTCACAGGGCTTATGGAATATAGCCTGTTCTGTCACCATTTTTACGCACTCTCCGTCAGTCCCGTGAAGAAGAAACTCGGGCTCCTCTTCATCATGCTGCTCCTCTGGGTCTACATGCTGTACTCCTGCGTGGGCTACTGTGCCAGTATGCCACCAAGTTTAGTTGCGGACAATAATAATAACCGAGCGAAGGAGACGGATTTCCTCGGGAAATATGCTGAGGCAGAAAGTGGCCGGCCGGACCTGATGATGTCCAAGCTCCTGTCCAGACCGCAGAGCTCGTGGACGGACGTAGAGTCAGATTATGATGAGCCTACGTTCCGGAGAGCTCCCAGAGATTTCAGTAAAGATGAAGTCGATTTGGACCGAGATGAGGAGTGGGACGACGGGCGGAGAGTTTACCCGCTGTCAAGTTTCTCCAACGGCTCGGGCAGTAAGAAGCTGCCTCAGGCGATCATCATCGGCGTGAAAAAGGGCGGAACGCGCGCGCTGCTGGAGTTTCTGCGCGTGCATCCAGATATTCGCGCGGTCGGTGCGGAGCCGCACTTCTTCGACCGTAACTATGACAACGGACTGGACTGGTACAGGTAAGAACGTTACTAATAACTACGCTCACTTATACGACACATACTTCCATTCACTTATATTGTTCTTCAGTGAAGTAAATACTAAATAGGCTACACTTTGATCACAAACCTACCCTTTCCAAAATAGCTTTTTTATTACTATTTATTATTTAATGAATTTTATTTCATTATTATTTATTTGTTTGATTTGTCAAATATTATTTATTTGTTTGATCCTCAGATTTAGTTTTTAACAATGTGTTGGCATTTTCAGCTCAAGTCTCGTACGAGCAGAACGAGACATGAGCTGTTAATTTAATCCTGACTAAAATCGAACTTGAGTTTAATTGCTACATTTAGGTAATATGATTGACTAACCTATTAATAACTTAGTTGTCCTTTTACGACCACTTTGAGTTTAATTACTAAAGAGGGACATTTAGAGTTGAAACTCTGAACACTTGTACAATTGTAAATTAGGCTATTGTTTCGTTTAAGGATAGAATCCTACAACTTGTTTAACCTTCCTATAAAATAAGAAATCATCCGATAGATTCAAAGTGAGAAAAACGGAGAATATAGGCTATATGCACGGCTTTTGAATTCCTAGCCTTTTGTCCCTTCAATTCATGATATATCTCAGCTTTAATAGTTTGGCTGCTGCGTATTTCTTATTAAATAAGCAACGTGAACCAAATAAACACTATTATTTTTTCAACTTTGTCCTCCCTCATTCATTGGCCCTTTTTGTTGTATCTGTCATTCATTATGTAATTTTACCCTTTGGCTCGATCTCAAACCATCCTAGGCAATCAAATGTAATTATTATTATGTAAATGGCATGTTCTGTATGGTTTGCATTCAGCCATCTATAAACGCATAGTTGCAGTAGCGGTAGTTTTCAGATTCCAGTTTAAACATTTACTTTGGTTCCGCTGTTTCTGCTACTGTGGAACTGTTAGACTCGCAGTTTAATGTTGAACACGGACATTTACATACACATTAATTCTGACGGATACTATTCAAATAAACACAATAGGTCGGTAATGATACATTTTTTTTGTGATTGTAATATCTTGAGAGATGACTCGTACCCGACCGCAGATTACGCAGTGGTCTCTGTTGGACACACTGATCATTGCAGGTTAACGGACTTCTGCTTTTGCGTTCACTTTTATAACTTTTAAAACATAAATGCTGATTTTTTTTTTTGCCCAAGACCTCGGTCTTACTCTACAATTATGTAAATATAGCTAATGTACTATAAACCTTTAAAATTGGAAAGTGAAGTTCAGTCGGTTGATGCCTTAACTAAATCAAAGTACTTTGCATTGCCATTTGAACATTTTTTTTTTTTTAAATAAATAGATAAATAAATAAACCCTTAAACCGGGTATAAATGACAGAACTGTCGATTTGAAAAGTTGGATAATGATGAGAGAATTTTAATAGTGTGACTGACCTTAATTTTCGGTGAGCAAGTGTTTGTATCTGAATCAAGAGAAATTAATGGAAAATAAAAAGCATACATCAAAGTAATTTGACATAATGGAATCAATGAAATTAGTAGCTTGTGAACGATAGTAGACTTGTTTATAATGTGTTTTATGTAGGTTTAGCTCAGTGCAGCTGTATTTTTTTTTTTTTTTTTTTGTGCTGTCCAAACCGTAAAATGTAATGTTAAACTTTTCGGCTTGCATTTGAAATATAATTTCTATTTATAGTTACGCATAGCTGTTTCTTTTGAGCGTGCTTTGGACAGTTTTAATTGGCCCATTTCGTTGTATCTACTAAAGTGGCAGAACACATTATTAGAGCTCGTAAATTCATTACACTCGCTGTTAGAACTCGGGCCATTTGTTTTAAATCAACTTTCGGAGTAGATTTAGGATTTTTTTAGTTACTTTTTGGCCTGTGTTGCAGTTATTTAAATGTGATGACATTTTGATTAACTATTTGTTAACATCATTAATGTTCTACTGTAAAGTGTAATGAAATAAATGTATAGCTTGTATAAAATGAAACTGAAGAAAGAAATGGGGATTTATTGCCCCAGAGTCTGTCTCTGCTTACCCCAGACACAGAGCGGAGAGAAACACTCAATAAGTTGATAAAACAGTCCTGGACTGCACGCCTGTCTCTCTAAACGGATTTTCAAAGGTTTGAGGGGTTGAAAGCCCAGTGCTTTTAAATATATGCAACGTTTCAGGGCCCCTATAACAAAAATCAGGACGGGTGCAAGAATGGTCGTTGTAGTGAATGCTCGGTAGTCCAGCTTAATGAAAAGGGAATTATGTTCATGCATGTTGAGAGGAAAAAATATTTATTTGATTAATTATTTAAATGCCAGGGCCTCACTTCAGTCTAATGCAAATTCAGGCTGATCCAGCAAAATCAGTCAAGATTGTCCCAAAATTGTTCAGATTCTTTAAACATGTTGTTCATTTGCTGTATTCAATTTATTGATGGATTATGCTATCTTTTAAACCATGTATAAAAAGAAAATAAAGTGGTCAGAAGTGTTCAACTTTGATTATTTCTATTACATTTTTTACCATGTCGAAACAAATTATTTTTTGCCAAAAAGAGATTCAGGGCAGCTGTCGCTTTTCTTTTTTTTTAAGAATTTTTTTTTTTCTTTCTGGAAAACGTTTTATTTGAAGTTTTATTAAAAACGTATTTGGTCAGTGGATGTGGGATTTTCTTCAAAAATGCTTTTTTATCCAATTGTTTTCCTTCTAAATAAAAACAATGCTTCAAATTCAGAGCAGAGTCTTTACCAAGTTACATAGTTGATTGAAAGTAACTTCACAAAAGCCTCTGTCGAGTAAACACAACTGATAAATTACAAGGGAGTTGAAGGGTATAATGCTTGTTTTCCACTCTTACGAGAAAGTTTTCTGTCTCAAGTGTTACAGGATTCACATGCCATTGCAGCTGGTTTGAGTTGGACATTCAATGCCAAAGTGAAATTCTATATCTGGCCACTGCTGTTTGGGCTGAAGATACGGGGCACAAACAAATGCAGACTTATGTGTTTACTGTTTTCTTTTTTGCTCTCACTTTTTTTCTGTCTCTGATGTCTCCGTGTGACCTGATCTAAAACAGTGTGGGAGATTGTGTGCAGACAGACAGAGCGCTTGAGGTGAACTCTCTGTGCTGACAGGACCTTTGAGTCCATTCTTGTCTTTTTAAAGAAGTGATATGGCCAAAGTGTTTATTTTTTTTAAATTGTCTCTCTCACAAGACTAAACAGGACTCTGATTCTGAGTTTTAGAGTGTCTCATACTCAGCAAAGTGATTTGCTGTGTAATGGAAAAGAGAGTTCATAGTGCAGAAATGCATTTTTAAAATAATGCAGCACACGGAAAGTTTGCAAGTCATTTTTAATAAGGTGTTTTTACTGTGGATTAACTCTGTTTATCAGAAAGTTGTGATTGACCTTTATATACCTTTCTGTGCTACAGAGAGCTAGCGAAAAAGACATGGCAGATGAGCTTTTGTTCCTCAGTACTGGTTAGACCTGTTCAGTCTGTTTTAGAGACTGTAAGTCTGGTGTATGATTCATAGACATTCAAGCATTATCTGCAGGCACTTCACATTTTGTTATGATCTTCTCCCAAAAATGTCTGGTCAATGTAGAGTTTGTAACAACTGCCAGTTTATTTGTAAGAGATATTACAGTATGAATAGCTAAAGTCGTAGTGGATTGAATTGAGTAATAACTTTGGCAATTGTCCTTTCGCAGTTTTCGGTTTCAACTACTTTTCTGATTTGTGAGACCTTGCAAAATCTCTGCTGGTTTTACTGCTTTTTTGCGGAGACTGCGATTTAATAAGCAGTTGAGTTGGCTTCTCAGAAATCCCACCGACCCACCCAGACAGACAGGGTCCCAGCTGGAACAGCGAATGTTGTGGGGTTTGACTTACTATTACATAATTTTCAAATCTACCAGAGCAGTTTTTGTAGTCGATGACTCCTTGTTTGTTAGTCAACCATACAGTAAACACACACTCTTCATACAACTGGTAACTTTTAGTCTGTGTATCTTTTTCCAGTGAGTGTTTGAAAGTCAGGTATGTAGTAGCACAATGCAGTTATTTTGTGTGCAATCCCCGAGTCCATCCTGAGATTAAGGGTGTGTATTCTGAATAGCAGCTATTAAGCAACACGGTCTGTAACTGCTGACCAACAAAAGGACAAGTGGAGCACTGTTCCATAAAAGGGAAATGCTCTGCAGAAAATCCCGTTCCGCTGTCGGACCAGGGAACGCTCTCGGAAGCATGTCACTTGAAAGTTCTGAAGTGCTTGGAGGGCTGCGACCCCTTGCCACCTTGTCCAGATGCGCACTTCCATCCGTGGAATGGCTAGTTCTGGATGGATGCCTCTGCTTTTGTACCCACACTCCATGGGGTGTTCACGCCACCATGTAGGTGACCCATACGGACGCTGTGGCCAGTGACCCCCTCCTTCCTGATTGTACAATGCAGGGGCCACCATGTCTAAGTGGTACCGGGTGAGATCAAACTAAGGTTTGGCTGTGCCTACAGGGTATTTTGTAAACAGTGAGCTGTAGTTGACTGCTTGGACTGGGTATCGATACAGATATTTATTCACAGGGTCACAATATGATTAGATTCTGATTCATTTGGACATAATTCAATTGTCTTATATTGACTATTTAACTTGCATATGAAAAAAGTTTTAACTAATGTTAACTAATTTATTTAAAAATTAAACAGGGAAGCTTCTAATTTGGTACATTACAAAAATATCTATTTAAAAATGAACAACAGAGCATAGTATATTATATTATATTGCTTTATTATTTTAGTATATTTTATTTAAATATTTAATCACTGAGAGTAATAACTTGATTTGATGACGTCTCTGATGGATTCAGTGAGTTATTTTAGTGAAGGAGTCAGTTGTTTGTGAATCGGACTACACTGTTTACTTTTTTTTTTTAATATATATATATTGCATGCAGCCCATGAGAACAACTCTATAGAAAATGTATT